CAAGCCCATTGGACAAGGGCCTCTTCCCCATGGCGATGAGGACAAGGGCATTTTCCCCAAAACCCTGGCCCGGTAATTGGAGAGATCTGCGGGCAAGGGGGCATATAGGAATCTGGGTGCCCTCTTTTATTAAGTCCAGCAATGTAAATTGTTCTGCAGACCCAACATAAAAAAATTTATACCATTTCACAAAATGAAATGGTAATACATTTACTGATAATGGCCAAAAAAGAAATGCACACATAAGAATTGTAGCTCCCCCTCCAATTACTTTGGTGGTCAATGAAAAATTGCCCCCTTACAATGGCCATCCATGTAGTGCTACCTTACATTAATGGTCAGTGGAAGAGGTGTCTATTAGATCCATGGTTAGTAGAAGTATCTTCTTAGATTGGTGGTCAGGTGTAGAAAGGCCTTCATTTACACTCGTAGTCAGTGGAATGAATGCCTTGTTACATTTGTGTACAGTGGGAATACTGGCCCTTACATTGGTGGTCAGTGTAGTGCCCCATTACATTGATGGCCAAGAATGCCTTGGTACAGTGGGAGTGAGTGGGAAGAATTCTGCTTACATTGATGGTCAGTGAGAAGAATATCCTTTGCTTCAGTAATTATTGTGATCGTGCTTCACAGATCATGCTTGAATAGCTTCTTCCACGGCTTCTCTAGCTATGGAGTGACAGTTGAGGGACCATAATTGATGCAATCAGCATCTCTTCTGGCCCCATTCAGTGGGGAGGAGATCGATTAATAGATTTTCAAAGGTCTCTCTCCCCTCTACCCGCCAACACCCATGATGTCCGTCCTGGGCTCACAGGAGGGGCAGCGGAGCCTGGGAAGCAAAGCATAGGGTGTCGGGTGGGGGGCACAGTTTTTAGCCACCAGAATCGCTTCTAGTATAAACCTGACCATTGGAGGTCTGTTTAGAGGGGCCTGCTGCCAGTGATGTATGGCATACGTCACTGGCAGTGCAAAGGGGTAAGTCACATTAACAAAAAACCCTCTCCCTGCTAAATGGTATTTTTAAAAACTTTTAGATGCATTGGTACATGTCTTCCATTGGGTATACATGTCTTCCAAGTGCCCAGCTACCCATGCACTTTTCTAACAAAAGCTTGCAAATTAGATTCAGCTTTCATAGAGTTCAATAGGGTTCAGCACTATGTTCAGGGTTTAAAGACTTTCTGCTGGGTTTGCTGAACTGCCTGCAACCAAACTTTGCTCGATTCTCCTAGCCCTGTTCCTCATCCCTGTAAAGCTACTTGCAGAAGACTATTACCATATCACTAAAATATGTAAAGTTCTGGATAATTTAGACTAAAATATTATATAAAAAGATATGTTACAGAAAAGAGGTAAAACCAAATATCTTGTATTTTTTTTTCATGTTTATAGTTTGACATGTATTGCGCCTTTACTAAGGTCTGCACATTGAGCTATACATATATACAGTAATGCCTGTTATATGCACATCTTTAATGCCTTGTATTTTATGTACAGCATTTACATAACATTTTGTGTATATTATCACCAACAGATGAAGTATGTGATGTTTTTCTATTACATTTCTCTAGCCTATTAATCTTAAATTGGTAAACCGACTTGTCTGAATGAATATCAGAAATGCAGCAGAAGCAAGCACCACCGACCCTATTATTGTATCATACTGCTATTATGGGTATTTAATAAATTTGACAAGCCTGCTGCCCATACAAAAAAAAATGTATTTTCACATTGATGTGATTATTTTGTTTCTAACAATAACTATATAACTAAAATCTCCTTAGAACGGTCATCATGAGCAGCAGGAAGTATTCCAATGCTACATTTGAGGAAATACGCCATCTAGTTAAGGCTGTAGTCTCTCTAACAGAGAAATGCTGTGTTGAAGGAGCTGCTGCTGACTGTTACGACAATGAGGTACATTTCAACATCCATCTGTAACTAACAATGCACTGATCTTTTTAACATATACTTTCATTAAAGATGAGATAGTCAATCCACCATGTTGAAATCTACAACATTGCAAAAAATGAAGCCTCCAGATGCTCAGATGTTAAGTAAAGCTTTGTTGGAGATCTTATTGGTGTCAACACATCCACCCCCTTCAGAGTGCGTACTCACCGCAATATGATGGCTGTAGCAGACAGCCACAAACGTTTTGTCTGATAGGAAGCGCTGTTGCGGCGTCTTTAGTAAATAAACACTTTACCATCAATCTTCAAAATACGAGGTGTTCACACAGTCATGGAAAGAAAAAGCCCCTCATTGTGTAGTATTTCCAGGAACAGTTTATTAAAAGATTAAAATCGGTTACAAAAAAATCACAACCGAACAGTCAGATAATACTTCCGTATTTGGTATGGTGCAAGATAGACCTGCCCCCGGTCTATCTTCCTATAGAGCGCTTCCTATCAGACAAAATGTTTGTGGCTGTCTACTACAGCCAACATATTGCGGTGTGTACACACTCTGAAGGGGGTGGATGTGTTGACACCAATAAGATCTACAACAAAGCTTTACTTAACATCTGAGCATCTGGAGGCCTCATTTTTTGCACTAAAGCGGAGTTAATTTACACAGAGACTTTCATTTTTGCACAGTGATTCATTCTCTTTGTATAGATAGATCACAATTAATTTGTTATTTACACCTAAATGGCGTGTAAATTATAAATCGTAAGGATATAAGTTATTGAGTATATATTCATCATGTATTCATTCATATAATGTGATGAGGATTGATGCACAAAGTATTTGCACGTTTTAAATAATCACAATTTATTATATAACAAACATTCACTTTAAAGAACAATTTTATCTAAAATAATATATTAATTCACTATTTATATAATATTTATTTAATTACAATGTGTGTTACCAATTGATTCACATGTATAATGATTTTTTGGATTCATAGATTTGCACATATATGCTTTTCATGCACTTAATATTGAGGTTAGCACCTATTTCACTAGAGCGACTTTCATTCATTTATCCACTATAGTTAAAAAGGTATATACCATTGTGTCTACACTTTTGGATCTAGTCATCCCTTTATAAACTGATTGAATCATTAGCGCTGTATATTCAGTTAAACAGATTTTTATGTAGCACGATATTAGCGCAACTTTTTATTAAACCAAAAATTATGTAAAAAATGCACTTAAGTTACATTTAGTGCCCCAAAACACAGTATAATACCCACTTTTTATAAAAAAAATATAAACAATGAGATTATGACGAGTAAATAGATACCCAATATGCCCAGGTTAAATTGTGTGTGTGTGTCTGTGAAATGGCGACAAAGTTCAGTAACACAAAAAGTCCATAGACAACGCTTTAAGAGCCCCTACAGTTCAGCAGTTTAGAGATACGCAAATAATTATTACTGTCGCACTGGTGCATGCGGTGATACATGTGTAGCACAATCGTCATTACGTGATTACGTGAATACGCGTGTGCTCGCGGGAGCGGGGGACTTCAAAACATTTTTTTATTATTTTTACAGTTATTTTATTTAATATTTTTAAAACTTTTTATTTACTTTACTTTATTTGATATCACATAGGGGGGCTTACGAGCCCCCTATCTGATAGTATATTGGTGGTGACAGGTACTCTTTAACCACTTGAAGACCAGGTGTTTAGACCCCCTTCCTGGCCAGGCCATTTTTCAGTATTCAGCGCTGCGGTACTTTGACTGACATTTATTCCGTCATGCAATGCTGTACTGAAATTAATTTTGTACCATTTTTTGGGGACAGATAGAGCTAACAGAACATTTTTAAATTGTTTCTTCTACAACATACCCTTGAAACTAGTAAACTAACTTTTCATTAATGAATTTGCATGTCTCATAAAGTTATCACTGTTCAGAATACTTTTTGATTTTGTTTAGTTAATTATATACATCTGTGGTATTGTATTAACTTTCAGGCATCAGCTCTGTCAGAAAAATCTTGTGATCCGAAGTCTCCATTTCCAAAACACCCTGGAGTCACTGGTTGTTGTGTTCAAAAGGGTCTTGAACGAAAATTGTGTTTAGCTGATTTAAAACAACCTCCAAAGGAATTCCCAACATATCTGGAACCATCAAATGAAGACCTGTGTACTGTCTTTAAGACTGATCCTAAGCTATTTTCTATTAAGTAAGTATAAAAACAACTTCCATATCTACCAAATGACAATCATACAGTTTCCTCTCCTTATTTCAACTGTGTTCACAGAAAACAAGCTAAGAATGTCCAAGATTAGCTCACTTATCTGATCAAACTACCTCCATTTATCTACTGGTTCTTACAAAAATCCACAAGCACATAAACCTACGTGAACCCACAGAACCTTATGAATTCTTCAGACAAGATAAAAGCTGTTTCTTGCAGGCACAATTTATTGTTATTACCATCCACTAAATAGATCTGGTATCTTCTACATTAAATACAGCTTTCATTTACTTGTTTGGGTGAACAGGGTTTGTTCGTCGAAGTGTGCATAAATGTAGGTGTGGATGCCAGTAGTCAAAAAATGCATTTTGTGTTAACTCATGGATATAGTTCATCTGAAAAAGTCTTTACAATTTAGTGTACCCATAAGCAACAGTCTTGTGATTACTAAAATGGAAACCTTGCAGATTTCCTGGACAAATTAAGAGGAATTTCCCCAGTTAGGACACAGACCACAAAAGAAACCTGCATAAAGAGAAAGCCAGTCCCCCCCCCCCCTCAAAGTAGAAAAATAATTAGTATCATATTATGCTTACTGCCGCTATATGACTGTTTTACTTTGACCTCATTAAAAGCTTGAGTTTTTCTCGGTGACTGCCGGCTTTCACTTTATGCAGGTTACTATGGTGTGACCATTTGCCGTGACCTCCACTACCAAGGCATGAAGGTTCTGCGGCTGGCAGGGCCAGATTTCCCGCAAGGCCAACCAAGTCCCGGCCTTGGGGCAGCAGGAAGTAGAGGGGCAGCAGGGGTGTCAAATTCCTATCTCCCGACGCCCGGGAACATGCAGTTGTGGGCGCCGGGTGGGTAGTTGTTTTCTACATTTAGCCCTGCTCTGGGCAAGCAGAGCTAAATGTACATAAGTGGGGTTGGTGGGTAGGGAGGCACATTGAGGAACCTGGTCTTGGGGCAGCAGACAGAGTAAATCCGGCCCTGGCTGATGGGTGGATTTGTATACAGAAATATAAACCTGGCAGGGGTTCTAATCTTTCTACACCATATCTGAAAGAAAAATATTAGTCTGGATTTTACATACACTTTAGCAAATCAATTAAATTATGGCATTTTTCCATTCCCACACTGACAATGTATAATCTTCAAACTTAATCACCATCTTAGATCTTACAGATGGAATTGCTAGATCAGTCTACAACCCGTCATTTATAGGGTTCCATTTACATACACCTAGGGCACAACACAACATACAACATGCTATTTGATTCCAAATATAATGGAACTGTTTCACCAAACAAAACAGAAAAATGCAACACAAAAGCAGTACTGTAGACAGCTATATATATAATAAGTTGACATGATCATATCAACTTTAATGGAAAGAGCACCATGTAAATATTTTGTGCGAAGCTATGAGAAGACATTTTACTAAACCCAGCAACTGGTAAAAAAAAAAAAAAGTCAAAAACATCGAACCCATCATAACCTTAGTGAAACACATCATAAGTAAATAGTACATAGTATGAGTGTGAAGTTTGATTAAGTTTGATTAAATCAAAACTGCAACAATGAACAGTTTGTTGTAACTCTGGACAAATACATTATTTATTGTGCTTATTAGGATTAACAAGGGGCATAGCGTAATATATTTTCACACTTGAACTGCACCACTGAGAGCACTACTTTAAAAAGACATTCTATGGCAAAAGGGACCAGAACTGGACCAAGCCCTGAAATGCCTGGAATCCAACCAGAATTCCAGAATTTAATTCGTAATCTGTCCAAATAAATGGAAATAAAAACCAGATGGATTCAAAGACTTCCGTGAAGCATATCTCATGCAAGAATAAAAACATATTAAATTATGCTTCCAGAGTTATTTGCAATGTAGATCAAAATTATGCATGACTGAAAAAAAATGCTATCAACTAGATGTTGTCATATAATCCAAAAGGTTTTTCACTGGCAAGTCACCAAATCTGCACCCACAAGCCAATCCGCTGAGGTTGGATCCAATTCACTAGTAACATTTCTTTCCATTTTGTCTGTTACTTATCATTTTTAATTAAAAAAATTTGAAAATGGCACAGCGTGATATTTATTGTCAAATACAGCAAATGACTCCTGGGAGCAAATTGTGGCTTATTAGACAAAAGCAAACTGGTCAGGCATATTTCTTAATGTCAAATATTGTTTTTTACTTTTGTAAATTAAAGGGGTTCTAAACCCTCCGGGTTTTTTTGCTTATATCTACTGCTAGCATGCAGTAGATATAGGCAAGAAGTGTAAAAAAAAACGCTTAAAATAATTTTATTCTTACCTCGTTATCGCTGCTCGCTCCCGCGCCAAGAATCAGGAACTGCTCGTACGGCCGCAAAGGATCTTGGGGCGGGCGCATGCGCAGTTCAGATTCTCGGCTGGGAAACGAGAAGAGAGCCAAGTTAAGTCTATGGCCGCGTGCACCCGCCTGCAGACACCGCTGGATCGGAGAGACAGAGCAGTCAGCGCTGGATCGGAGCGACGTCACACCGCTGGAGGGACACATGAAAACATGGGAAAAGAAGAGGAAGATCGGAAAAAGAGACATCATTTAAGGTAAGTGCTAACATTTACATGGGGGGGAGGGAAAAAATGTTTTGCCTTTAATATCACTTTAAAATCAGTCCTATGTCGCTACTTCATTATACCCCTTACTGCTTTAAAATGCAAGAATAGTATGTATATAAATAGATACCAACTAATACAGACAAATTCCCAGGTTGTCACTGCTGCATCTAAAAATGTTTTGGCTTCAGTCCTGCTTTAAGTATATTTCACTTACTGGAATGTAGACCAATCTCCTTTGTAATAAATGTATTAGACATGCGCACTGCCAAAAAATTTGTTTAGTTTCGTTTCGTTTTAAATTCGGATTTGTGTTATTTTGTTTTCCGGGATTCGGGTGCGAAAGTCAATTCGGATTCGGAATTCGGATTCGGACTAAATTTGGTAGCGGTCGTTCGAACGTTTGTTTCGTTTTCTGTTCTTATTCGTTTCTTATTCGTTTCGTTCGTTCGTTTGCAGCAAAGTGACATTTGAGGGGGAAAAAATATTTTTCTCCTTCTCTAATGTCACTTTGCTCCAACGAACGAAACGAATAAGAACAGAATACGAAACGAACGTTCAAACTACCGCTACCGAATTTCGGAAATGGAAATTCGGATTCGTTTGCATTCGTTATGTCTGTAATTCGGAATTCGGATACATCCGAATGTCCGAATTTCTGAAAATTCGTCCGAATTTCGATTCGGAACGAAAGGAATCACACATGTCTAAAATGTATGACAGGAGGCATTTTGTTTAAGCAAATGCTCTTTTTGGGATAACTGAATGATAGATTGTTTTTCTATAGTTGTAACACTTGAGATAGATTTAGAGTTGTATTGCCTGTTGTAAATAATACCTTGTCTGCTTCACAGATTTCTCTATGAATACTCCAGTAATTATGCCCAAGCTCCATTTCTAGTAGTCAAAAACTCTACAGAAAACTACCTAAATATGATAAAAGAATGCTGTACAGCCAAAAAAACGACACCATGTTTTCTCAAACAGGTTTGTCTTCTTTGTTTTTTTTCTGTTTCCCATTTACATTGTCTTTTATTGCAAAAATTTAAATCTTACATGAAATGCCGCATTATCTGCTATATTCAGAAATGTTTGGTGCTCAGAGCAGATCAAAGGGGAGTCCTTAGGGTATATTAGAGCACCGAATGGCTGATGTGCGAACGCACCTCATGTATAGAACCAGGTTTTCAAACAGAAAAGATAAAATAATTTATTCATATTGTAGTTTTTGTTGATTTTATACATAATGGGCTGTGTTTTCTAAAGGAAATAAAAAATAGCAGGGATAAAGTGCTAAAGTATGCATGCATCACTGACTAGAAGGAGTAGGTAGATGTATGCACACACAGGAACCACGATCCCTGAATCTCTTTTGCAAATTTCATAATGACAAGTGTATGGTGCAGTCCAAGTTTTTCATAAGTGTTTAAGGCCTGGTTCACACCTGTGCGTATTGCATAAGCGCGTCACACGCGCGTTTTTTTCCCGGAGTTTGGCGTGTTTTCATGTGCGTTTCTAGTGCGTTTTTTTACATTAGAAACGCGCGTTGCACGTGCGTTTTGGAGCGACAACAGAGGTATCCAATGAAGAAGAATTCCTGTTTTTCCGCAAGCGTCCAATGAAAAAGACTTCCTGAGGCGCAGCATTTCCCTTTCCTGTATAAAAAGACCTTTATGGTGTGTGTGTCGGATTTTTTGCAGAGAGCAGTTTTGGATTATTTTTGCCATTATGGAGCTGACCATACGACGAAGGACTGCAGCAGTCGTTGCAGCACTGCGTCTGATAGCGTTGTGGAAAATAATATTAGGCTAACAGCCAAATAATACTGTTTTTGTATTCTGTTCCAATAAGATCCACTATGCAATAAGATGTGTTTTTTGTGAACATGAAAAAAAATGTTGCCAGCTTTCTACACAATGAAATGTGACAAGCAAAGATGCAGGTCAAGCCCATATGCTGTGTTGTCGAAGCAAAAAAGCAAGTCCAAAGGTGCTAATAGTGCACACAACAGCGCTCCTCTATCACCTTTCCGTGCCCCATCCAGATTTAATCCATTTACAGATGCACTACTAACAAGTAATGGTAATATTAAACTCTTAGGATTCCATATGCAGCCAAACTCCTCCCCAGTTCGGTCCCATTCACCTTCAGTTTGGTCTATCTCAACCATGTATTAGTTTTACACTATGGGACTGTTATATATTTTGCACTAATAAAAATTTTATTGGCATAAAATCAATTGTAATAAACTTACAATGTCAGGTGCTTATAAATTACCAGAACACCACACTTAAGACAAGAAAGCCCCTCCACTATTAAGTTCCTGGAGCGTCTGGCTTTTGTGATGATGTCAGCGTGTGTCCACCCACTTGATTTTTGTCACAGACTTCATCAGCAGTGGGATACACAGACTCCATACCACATCCTTATATCATTAGAAAGCCCCTCCCCAATCTCTGTGGTTTTTAATGGTTTCCACCATAACTCACTGCAACGCATAGAAAATGCAGACGTATAAATTTGCATTTACCGTTGTGTTTTATGCACATTATGGTGCATTGTTTGCACATTATTCTCCGTTGTAATGTCCACCATTGTTAAGTATTTCTTTAACCTAATATCCTCCTACATCTCCCCTGTTCTTGCTTTTGGGGGGGGGGGGGGGGGAGGAGAGGAGAGAGGAGAGACTTTTTGTGAGGTATTTTCCACAGCTGACATCTTTTGGGTGAAAGTATCTCTGATTGCTCCAAAAAACACTCTGTACTCTCCAAACACTTTCCTGCCAAAGGTGGCTACCCTAGAGGTCATTGAAAGTGTTCAAATAATAAAAAAAAAACATTTTGTATTCTATTCCTTCCTTTTAGTTGGTGTGTTGCACTGACATGCGTTAATGTGTGTTGAGTTGCCTTCAAAGGCAGACATGCTGTGTTTTAATGCAACACATGCAACACTATGTTGTGGGGTGAGTGAGGCACATAGAAAATAATTATTTTCTGTGTGCAAATGGAGTGGATAAGGTAAAGAAAAATAACAGGTCACTGCATGTGATCTGAATGGGCCCACAAATCTCCAGTTTAAGCCTTAGGGTATGAAGTCATGTGTGCCTACTTGTTGTGGCCACACTTTCACAACATGTGACTGTGATATGGCATCACAGGCTTCTGGTAAATATCTTGAGCATACAGTTGGTTGACTGTATACAGTTGATGCTTCAGCATAAGCATTAGTAAATCAGGCCCAATGTCTTCATAGAAAGACCATGCCCTTTTTTTTCCTATTTAAGATGGGATACCTTAAAACGGACCTACCATGAACACTTTACTGACCGTCCTCCACCACTTAAATATAAAGTACTTTAAAAAATCCATTAAAAAATAATTTTAAGATTTAGGAGGCATGGGTAACATCACAGTGCTTCAACATTGTCTCCCAGGAGGGCCCGAGAGTTTAAAGTCTGCATTAAATGCACTTGTGCAATGATCTGGAGTGCATTTTTGTGGGTTTTTGGCGACACAGCTCTACTTGTACATGGACGTCACCCACATCTCCCAGAAGAATCGAAAGCCAGGTTCAGAGGTAAGTTTTATTTTTAAAAATAAAATAATAAATATATATACTTACATTGGGCCAAACGTGACCACTGTAAGTATACATAAATATTTATACCCGGAGTTCAACTTAAAGCAATAAATTACCTTTAAAACAAACCCTCACTGACCTCTGTAGCTGCAGATACCCTGGAGACACTCATTCTTAAAGTGACATTAAAGTCACACACACTCCAATGCCGCTTTAAGGACTTACCTTAAGTGATGCCTCTTGATCCGACCATCTTCTTCTTTCCAGTAGTTTTCAGCAGTCCTTCCAGCGCTTATGCCAGTCTCTGATCCAGCACGGACAGCTGTCTCTTCCTGTTCCACGATGTCTGTCTGATGTGCACGCTCTTGGCTGCATGTATTGACTTACAGAGAGTCTCTCCTCTTCTCCCTGCCAATGATCTCCAATGCGCATTCACCCACACACATCCTCCTGCACGGCCACTGCAGGAGATATATATCTACAGCTGGGAGCGAGTGGCGGAGAAAGAAGTAAGTTTTTACCTATTTGGTAACTTTTTTATTTTTTACAATGTTTTTGCATATGTCTACTGCTTGCTAGCTGTAGATAGATGTAAACAAATTTGACTTTAATGTAACTTTAGAGTTCACAGCAAAAGCAACAAAGTATTTCTTAAGCCAACTTGGTTCACACTGCACCTCGATCCTAGCAAATGCTTAGCAGCCTTTGAGATTTCTAATCTCTAATATTAACATAACGTGGGTGCTCTGGAATGGGGAAGAAGTGTGATCTGAGCTGCTGGGCAGAGGGAGCATGTCGAGCTGACCTTGCTGAGAGAAGTTGAATAACTTCAGTGCTTGTGCTGTGAGATTTGAGGATACATTGCTCCGCGGTGCCTGCAGCTACAGAGGACAGTGAGGGCTTCTTTTAAATCTCATTAACTGCTTTTTACATGTACGTAAATACTCAAATGCTGACCATAGGTTCACTTTCGAGGAAACTTAAAAAGATGGAAAAATGGCAACTACTATTGTTAACTTGCACTTGGTGGTGTTGGCTCCAGAACTGTAACTCTTTTTTGTTTTACCACTAAGTCAGTCAGTAACCCAGACTAGACATACTCCTAAATGTTGTCCTGAACTGCACATGTTCCAGGTGTGTGACTCACCAAGCACTGAAGAAGTTATAATGATGGCAGCCCTAGAGCCTGCACCAACCTTCAATAGACTGGGAAGGTATTAAAAACAACATAATAAAAGCTTGAATACTTCTATTACAGTTTTTAGTTTATTAACTATCTATAGTTTTAACTAATTTATTATATTTTTATGTTCAGAGACTTCAGAGGCACCCATTGCACTTACTTACTGTGATGTCCAACAGAATGTGCTCTCTCTTTGCAAGTTATGGAGAAGAAAACCTAAAGTTCAGGTATAAGAATATATTTTGTTAAGTCCTGTAATATTTGATTATTACTAACTTCATATTATTGGTATAATGCATACTGATTTAGCAAGACATTAAGGAAAACATTGCTTTATTTTTTTTTATTGGTATCACATATACATTTATTCAGTATTTATATCAAAATATTCTGCCAAGCCTTCCACCTTTCTTTTGAAGAACCCTTCCAACCAAATGTGATCGTCTAGGTACTTTCCAATTAGGATTGAAAATGAAGCATTGAGATGCATATAGTGAGCAAATTGTACAAGTCCATCCCACTCCATTTTGTCAACAATGTGGTGATTTGAGAATATGCATTGCGTGCCCCATGCTGTCTCTTTCAAATGCATCAAACTTAAATAGGGTTTCTAAACCCACCGTTTTTTTTGCATATATCTACTGCTAGCAAGCAGTAGATATATGCGAAAAGTAAAAAAAAAAAAAACGCTTTAACAGCGGTTTAAGCTTACCCCGTCTTCGCCACGTGCTCCCGTGGGCGTGTGCATGAGCATTGCTAATTGATATGACCATTTTAGTCATTGTAATTGCTGCTTCTTTTTTATGGGCTTGCTGATTCTCGTGTAAACTGCAGATATATGAAGCACAGTCATTTCCTTTATCTAATATAAACTACTTAGCTAGTCAAATTCAAAGCGAAAAAGCAATGTGTTAAAGTGGTCTGCTAACACTTTGTGAATTCCACTTTAATTATAGTCTCATATCAAATTTCCATGTGTGCTTGCTGCAGCTGGTGAACCTCGCTGTATGATTCTGAGAATTGCTAATCATGTGCCTCCAATAAGACCGTGAACTGTCACTTAGAGCTTAGTAAAAAAAACACCTTATAGCATTTTTGCTGGAAAGGGTTAGGGTTAAGTAGTTACTTGCTGACTTTGTATTGAATTACATTATTTATAAGAATACTTTTCTGACTCCTGCTTTAGAGGAGTTTCTGAAGCCATCTGATTGCCTTTATGATTAGCACAGAGAAGATGTCAGGTGGCACATTGGCAGTATATAACTCTCAGAATACTTTTCCATGTTCTGCATCACACATGTATGTCTGGGAGAAATAAATAAAACAGAAAAATGCCCGTTGAACTGTCTGAAATCCATGTGCACCTAACTTTATGTTTGAGTTGACAACACAGTGCCTTTGCCCCTCTAAATTCCTGAGCAGCATTGCCAGGCCAACTTGCTGGACTACAGAACTTGGCCTATTCCCCATCCCTCTCAATCTCACTCCATATGCATACACTGATTTTTTTCCCCAGTACATCAGTATTGCTGCTTTACCTCCTAAGAGCCTACCCAGACACTTTATGAAGAGTAAAGGCTCTTTAGAGATGTAGTACTTGAGGCAAGACTATGTCAGTAGGAATTGAGCTCACAGAAGCCACTCCTGAAAGCATTTTACAAGTCTAGTGATCATGTCACAGGGAGTAATAAAAAATATATCTTACTTCAGGAACCAGGTAAAAGGAAAAAAAGTATTATTGGTGCATGCTAGGGGAATTGGGGGGTAGATGTGGTTATTTCCAGGATATATATTTTTAAAAGATTGCATTGCAGGGGTTCTTGTTCCACATATATAATGGATAGATTGCCTTTTACAGAAATATGTTTTTCCTGGCCATATCCATGGCAGCGCTGACCATTGGGTTTTAGCTCCAATTACCCCTAGATGACGGGAACCAAAAGGGTTAAACAAGGCCTAACCCTCTCCATAAAAGCCCCTCCTCCTGACGGCTTCCCCAGTCTTTTTTGTTCCTGTCCCCCCTAGGACAGGGTTATACACTAGTTGCTAGGAATAGGGATACATATAGTTCTGGATGGCCTCGGGGGAGTTCAGCCTCTCTCCCCTGGGAAGTTCCCAAGACTCGGCCCCGAGCAAGGGTGTCCCCTTGGGAAAACAGCTTTCATCTAGGTCAGAGGTATCCTCCTCATGGAAGCGGTTATTGAATCGAGGCTGCAAATTCAGTGTGCAGCATGTTGCTGGGACAAGGTAAGCCTGTGGGGTATACTCTTACCTGTGTGCCGTGGCCCGACTCATTGTGGCGGCTCCCCGCTGCGTTCTTTGTTGGTCACTGACTTCCCTTTTGATAGCATCCCAAAAGTGCTACTCCAAAGGAAATACATAAATTCATAATTAAATGTTAATTGCAATAGATTTTCACACTGTAAACCAGAAAGCACGTTTAACAGAGAAACCCAGAACCACCTCCTAGCTAATAAGCACAATATAATGGTACTTCCACTAGTGAAAGGAACATAAAAGAGACAAGAGTTCATAAAAGGGTCTGAACTTGCCTTATAACCATTACTAGATACATTATTACAACACTGATTCAGCAGTTGAATGGTTTGTTGGACATGTAATGTTATTTGTAATTTGAAAAATTAGTTTTAATTAGATCTGTAGCTTTCCACAAACACCTATCATGGTTCCTTTTATTTAGTTGACAACAATTCACCAGTACAATAAACAGTCTAAGTCATTAGAGCAAAGCCTAATCTATTCTCACTTTTACTTTTGCTTAGTGCTGCAGTAATGTTCAGCCAGAAAATTCCTTCTGCTGAGTTTAAGGATGTCATGCCAATTGTTGAACAAGGCACTCGGGTGCTTGCTAAGTGCTGCAGATCTCTTACTGATAACTGCATGGAAAGTGAGGTAGGAAAATGTATAATACATTGTATAAACTACAATTAATCTGATCAGTCTCAATTACTGTATGTATACAAAGTGAAATTGAATGTAAAGCTTTAGTTAAGAAGGAAGGCCAACCAAACCTTTTCTTTCTAATATTTAAAAAAAAGCAAATGAGTAAGTCATTAATTAGGTTTGCGTTGATTTTTTTTTTACACCATTAGGTATTTTGCTATCACTTTATCTTGTCACTAAGTGCCCATTCTTACCATAACGCTGCTCTAAGGGCATGGTTTCTGTACACGCTATTGCACAACGCAACTGGTGGTGTGCTGGTTCATTGCATTGCATTGGCCATTCATTCTAAATGTCACCCCAATGCACCTCCTGGGAGGCGCGTGTTGCGCTGCAGTGTGTGGTAATGTAATAGCGTGCATCACCGTGCATGAAATTTTTTTTACAAAAAATCAGATTCTAACTGTTAATATTTTTGCTGTTTGGGAAATTTTTCTTCACTTTTTGTTTTAGAGATGCAACAGGAAGTGAAAACAAATCTCTACAAAGTGAGAGGAATACCCCTCTTTGACAGGTGTCCCCACTGGAAGATTTACACTCAGTTCTTATTCTGTTGACAACTCTAAGGCCTCATTCACATGGATGTGCACAGCAGTACAGCATGCACGTCTGTGCAGACACCTGTGCCCTGGGGAGGGACAGGTGCTGCATGCAGCCATCTGTACATCTCTATGGCAGGACACATCCAAGGGTGTGTATTCTTACGCAAGTTTGGGTCAGATATGCAAGTTTGGGTCAGTGTGTAGCCATGTTCAGCAGCATCCTTTCATAGAGATGCACATGTGGTTGCACCTAGGTGCACACAGCACCTGGCCCTGCTGAGCACAGGTCTCTGCATGGACATGCACGCTTTATGGCTATACACGTGCGCATGAACAAGGTGTAAAATGTAAGATTTCCCATTACTTTCTGTCTTGGTATGAAGGACACCAGGGCAAATAGAGAGGGAAAATCTACATAGCAGGACCACAGAAAGCAATAAAAACTTGATACAACATCTAATCTTTTCCTAATATATTCAGAAGAAAACCGTTTTGGGATATGCATATATTGAAAACCTTAAATTAGTCTTGTTGTTAGGAAATAATGATATTGCCTATTCTCATAAGCAAACACCAACTTGAGGCTTAACCTCCTTGCGTCACATCATAATGCAGGCACCCATTTTCCAAGTCACCCATATTGCATTTTGGGATGTGGAGTATTCCTGGGCTCTGACTTGCAGCAATGTTAGCATTTGCATGCTGCTGGATAGGAAGTTTGACAAGGAGAAGGCATGTTCCAGCACTTCATGTCACCTGCTATTGCTGGTTTATACAGCATTTCCTACCAATAGGTTTATATCAGGTTTGTCATGCATGACCATTTTGAGCAGATATTGGCATTTCCAATGTGTCTCCGAAGGCCATGTACAATGACTGTTTAAAGTATCTGGCAGGAGTGATCACTGTAGATATTTGTTAAGAAAAACAGTTTGAGAAAATATTAGTTGGGTTGAAATATTTAGTCATAGCCTAAGTTGTTCCCCTATTTAGAGCATGTTTTTGTGACAAAAGAAAACCTGTAGCTGGATATACAGTTCTAGTCACTCCTATGTTACCCATCCTCCCTTAGGAACCTGTGTTTTACTGTAGAAATAATTAGCTAGTTTTCATAAAGGGGGATTGTCACAGAGCATGTGTGTTATAAATGATTTTGTATTGTATTTGTAAAATGTTATTAAGGCCATTTTAGTGTTTGGAGAAGTTTGTGCCATTGATTGTTTATTACCTGGCTTGGGGGATGGATGTGTGGATGTGTGTGGCCTAAACATTTGAGAAGATTTGTCCTCAGCACAGGAGAAGACCCCTTCCTGTGCGCATGTATCGAGGGCTGTGGTGAGGCAAAGGAGCTATTCTAGGTGTAGATTGTTTTGAGATCAGTCCTGGGTACTGCAGATTGAGAACGCTTCTTTTATCATCAGCTGACAGTTTGTAAATTATGGATATTTGGGCCTGGAATGTCTTTGCTGTTTCGTGATCCTCAACAGAGATGCATTCTAATTAGGCCAAGTTATATTTACAACTCACTTTTAGATTACTTCTCATTTACAGACAGACATCAGCACCTTTTACCCAACAAAAAAAGAAAATAGCTAGCAATATTAAGGCCCTATTCATACCTGCGAATGGGGACAATCACATAAGTGTCATGAATTCCTCCATGGAACTCATGCAATCTTTGTAATACAATGACAGCTGCCAATGGCCACAGTTGTTCGCAGCCTGGTGACATGCAATCACACAGTCTGCGATTTCCTTCAGATTGTTAGTGCAATCATCCACAGGAAATTGCATCCTTGTCTCCATAAACATGGGGACAAGGTACTTTGGAAAAGGAGGGGAGAATGGGGTCGGCATGGTCCCCTTCCCATCTGGAGGGAATGTGGCCTG